AACCACCAGAAAACCAGAAGTGGCGCTGTGGCTCAAGTGGTAGAGCACTAGCCTTGAGCTGAAGAGCTGAGGGACAGCGCCCAGGCCCAGAGTTTAAGCCCCATTGACTGCTCAAAACAAAGAAAGAGACTCCCACTGGCAAGGTGGGTGCCCTACAGCCTCCAGGCTGCCTGCTCCGCCCATGGTCAGTGAGACAGCAGCTGTAGAGACCGTCAGCAGCCATAGCTTCATGCTTAGCCTCATGCCAGGTGCTGGAGCCGAGCTATGAACAAACAAGGCAGAGGTCACATGCCAGTTGAAATTCTTTCCCTGGCACTCATCAGCCAGAGAACCTCTGGGTAGCTGCTTACTTCTGAGCCTGTTTCCTGTTTTGAATCAGTAAAGGTTGAACTAGTAGCCAGGTGCCAGTGGCTCACACCTGTAATCCTAGCAACTCAGAGGAGACTGAGATCTGAGATGGCAGTTTGAAGCTAGCCAAGGCAGGGAATTCTATGAAACTCTTGCGTCCAGTCAAGCACCAAAAAGTCAGAAAGGGAGCTATGCTTCAATTGGTAGTTTCAGCCTTGAGCAAAAAAGCTAAGGAATAGTGCCCGCACCCTGAGTTCAAGCCTCAGTACTGGCATGCATTAACACAAACACACACACATTGTACATGGAAAATGCCTAGCCTGTACTTTGCCCTCAAAGGGCCAACACACACACACACACACACGGGTTGAATTGTATTGTACATGGAAAATGCCTCGCCTGTACTTTGCCCTCAAAGGGCCAGCACACACACACACACGGATTGAATTGGATTGTACATGGAAAATGTCTAGCCTGTACTTTGCCCTCAAAGGGCCAGCCATTTAGCCAGGGACCAGTGCCTCACGCCTATAATCCTAGCCACTCAGACTGAGATCTGAGTATCACCATTCCAAGCCAGCCTGGGCAGGGAAGTCCTTGAGACTCTTATCTCAGTTAACCACCAGAAAACTGGACGTGGTGCTGTGGCTCAAAGTGGTAGAACACTAGCCTTGAGCAAAAAAAGCTCAGGGACAGCTCCCAGGACTGGAGTTCAAGCCCCAGGACTGACAAAGAATTTTTAAAAAGGGGGGGCCATGGGGGGGGAGCAGCCATAGTTAGCCTGGCTTGTCCATAACCTTCAGAGTGCTAATAGCTCTCAGCTGCTCCTACTCAGTTGGATGAGGGCAGCGTTCTGCCTGCTGACCCCTTCCTACCTTCCCCACCCTCAGATTTATTGTCAGAACCTGTGTCTGCTGGCCAAGCTTTTCCTCGACCACAAGACATTGTACTTCGATGTGGAGCCCTTCGTCTTTTACATCTTGACTGAGGTGGACAGGCAAGGGGCTCACATCGTGGGTTACTTCTCCAAGGTACTGGATGTGGAAGCCCAGGTTGAGGGGGAGGGAGGAGGGGGTAATAAACTTGAGCCCCCCCCCAACCAAAGGTCCTGAGCATCCACCCCCTGCAGGAGAAGGAGTCCCCAGATGGAAACAATGTGGCTTGCATCCTGACCCTGCCCCCTTACCAGCGCCGTGGCTACGGGAAGTTTCTCATTGCGTTCAGTGAGTGTTTCTTGGCCTACCTAAGGGAGGGCAGCTGTGATGCTGGGTTTGGGGGTGGCAGTCCCTCAGGACTCTCTGCCCCCTTCCTGCCAGGCTATGAGCTCTCCAAGCTGGAGAGCACAGTAGGCTCCCCAGAGAAGCCACTCTCTGACCTGGGCAAGCTCAGCTACCGCAGCTACTGGTCCTGGGTCCTGCTGGAGATCCTGCGAGACTTCCGTGGCACATTGTCCATTAAAGACCTCAGGTGAGGGCCCTGGTTCTAATCATGCCCGAGGACCTTGCGAGAGCCACGCAGGAGCCCTCTGGCACAGGGCCAAGATGGGCCGTGGATCCTGCCTCCTTGGCATGTTGGCTCTCACCACTATCTGCTCCAATCCTCCCTACAGCCAAATGACCAGTATCACCCAGAATGACATCATCAGTACCCTGCAGTCCCTCAATATGGTCAAGTACTGGAAGGGCCAGCACGTGATCTGTGTCACGCCCAAACTGGTGGAGGAGCACCTGAAAAGCGCCCAGTATAAGAAACCACCCATTACAGGTGGGTAGGGGGGGCTACAGCTGTGGGGGGGGGCACACACATGTGTGCGTCCTGGGAGAGGGCGGTAAGTGCAATGGCTAGCAGCCAAACCTCTTGGTTTTTTGGTCGCGTGATCCCAAACCAGTCTGACCAGCTCACAGCACTGAAGCCTAGGGCAGGCTACTCATTCCTGGATTTCCCTGCCCCCACCCCCTGCCCTGCCCTTGTGTTCTCACCTGGAGGAGGTGAAACCTGGCCTGAGCACAGCAGGTGTGCGCAGGCCTGGGCCGCCCTGCCTGCTGCTGCTCCATGGCTCTCCTCCCCACAGTGGACTCTGTCTGCCTCAAATGGGCCCCGCCCAAGCACAAGCAAGTCAAACTCTCCAAGAAGTGAGCACGCTGCTGCATCCGGGACCCCTGCCTCCCTGCCCTGTAAATAATGTACAGACCTGTTTCTTCATTTTTTAATAAAGTGAATTCTGCTGGTGGCTCGGGACTTCCCAAGTGGGACGGAGACGCCGAGAGGTGTCACCGTGCACTTCACACACATCGCGCCATGCTCAGAACACTTTACTCCTCCTGTTCCCACCCTGACCCAAGCCCCAGCCAGCTCCGGTGGGGGCTCAGTCCTCCGGAGTCCGGGAGTCAGGGCTTAAGAGGAGCTCAGAGGCAATGGGGCCAGATTGGGGCCTTTCCCATGGCAGGCGCAGGCAAACTCGGAGCACGGGAAGAGCAGGCTGAATGATGGGCTCATGAGGCAGGGAGGGTGGGCCAGCCTTCAGCAGCAGCGGGCAGCTGCCCCAATCTTCTAGAAACGGGCTAGAAGCTAGGGCTCACAACCGAGGCTTCTTGAGAGTTCCTGGGAGCCCAGGTTCTAGCCAGTACCACAGGCCTTGACACTCTTGATCCGAGGTTATACTCCCAGAGAAGAAATCCAGAAGAATAGGCTCAAAGATCAGGAGGTGCCTGGCCTCCGGCAGAGCCCTGGTGGCCAGGCCCGGGCCCAGGTCCTTCCTTGTGAACAGGAACGTGTCCTTGGTCCTGGAAGGGGAGGTCAGCTTCCAGGGTAAAGAAGCGCTCATGTCAAGGGTAGAAGAAGCTGAGCATCAGGCCCAGCGGCAGGAGGAGGACAGGCCCTCCTAGTAAGCCCTGGGCTGGAGCAGAGCTGAAGGCCGAGCGGTGGTTGCAGAGGTGGCCGTCAGGCTGGGACTCCTGGGTTTGGGGCACCACCCGAGGCTGCAGTTCTGCCACATGGTGGTGGATCCAGGAGGCATGGCTGGAAGTCATAGTGTATACTCCAGGCCTGTTGGGGGCTCCACAGGAATCACCCCAGCTCACAATGCCAGCCAGGTACCAGAGGCCCTCCACAGAGCAAGAGAGCGGGCCCCCAGAGTCGCCCTGGAGAGAAAAGGCATGACAGCTGTCAGGCCCGGGCACTGCACATGCGCCAGCCCCATCCAGCCCTCCCCTCCTGCCAGGTACCCACCTGGCAGGCATCTTTGCGGCCCTCCACGTAGCCGGCACAGAGCATGTCCTGCAGCAGGACGTGGGGCTCCTCCGGCTTGGCACCAATGTTATAAAGGCAGCTGCAAGTCTCCCGGCTGATCAGTGGCACCTCCAGCTGCTGCAGAGGCCTGGGGGACTGGAGGCTCACTGCGGGGAACAGAAGGGGCTCACCCAGGGCCTCCTACCCTGATCAGGCAATCCCCTCAGCACCCAGTATGCATCTCACCTGATTGGGACACATGGCCCCATCCAGTGACCGTACAGCGGAGGCCATTGGGGAAGGAGGCGTTGGCAGCCGGCAGGCAGATGGGCCGGATATGACGAGAGAAAGGCACGGAGCTGCTGAGGCGCACCAGCGCGATGTCGCCCTCCGAGCCCTCCTCACGGTAGCTGGGGTGGGAGATGATCTGAGCCACCGTGCGGACCTCGGCATCCTGGCTGTAAACATCCAGCTGGTGGGCTCCCAGCTTGATCTCGTAGTCCTCTCTGGAGTGCTCCCTGCAGGCAGAGGGAAAAAAGCTGGGACCACCGCCCCCCCTTCTCTCCCTCGCCTTGCTGTCTCATGGAATCCTGCCCCAGATAGTTGTCTAGGGAAGCTGACCTCTAGACTCCCCTTCACCTGACCCAACACTTCAGCATCTGACCTGAATTGACCCATGAACTTGAGCCATAGTGCCCCTTCTGGCTTTGTCTGCTTATGTGGTACTGAGGAATTGAACCCAGGGCCTCATGCATGCGAGGCAAGCACTCTACCACTGAGCCACCTTCCCAGCCCCGACCCATGAACTTTGACATCCAGCCTACTTTGGACATGTCCCTCCTCCCTCACCCTCGCCCCAGCTGATACCTGGGGAAGCAGTGAGCGGCGGACAGTATCCACTGGTCAGACACGAGGGACCCGCCACACACATGGTCTCCATTGTAGTTGATGCTGACCTGCCAGGGCCATTGCCCAGGGGACGCACTGCTGCCCCCCGTGATCCGAGCCTGGGAGATGACACCACACACTGCTGCCAGGGAGGAAGGAAATGTGGAGTCAAACTTTTCTGGTCGCCCCCCCCCCACACCAAGTCTTCAGCCCTGTCACACTTGACAGATTCCAGATTTGGTTTAGAACCTGGGTTCACAGATACCCTGCAATCGCCATGCGTAGCTCACCACACATGAGCAGTTCTGTCTCTTGCTATCTATCCACTGGCCACTTTCTACTTGAGGCCTTACAGCCAATCAGCTGCACAGATCTGGCCTCCTGAACCTTCGGATCCCTGCCAGATCTCCCGCAGCATTCCTGTCCTGTCAAGTAAATCGGCCAGTCCTGGAGCTCACCCTGGAAAGCCTTTCCCTCCCTCCAGCCCTTGCTCTGCTCAGCTGGTGGGGTAGGGGGCTGTCCAAAGATCAGCCTGCCTTGCTTGATCCTGCCAAGTCAAGCTGGAGTTGCCCCAAGTGGGAGGAGGGAAGTTCCCACACTGCCCAGAATTAGAATTGTTGTGTCTTAATTGTTGCAAATCACCTTGGCCTGAGCCTTCCTTAGGAATAACCCCCATGCCCTCAACACCCACCTTGGGCTTTGGTGGATGAGGCTGAGGATGAAAACACACACAACTTGGCTCCCAAGATGTGAACAGTTATTTCCCAAGCCAGCCCCAAGTTTGCTCCCACTGAGGCCATAGTTTGGAGTAGAGTCCACTACTCCACACAAAATGACCTTCCTTGGAGCAGAGAGAGCGCCAGCCAGCCTCCTCCTCCCCCTCCTCCCCCTCCTTCACTTCCTCATAATCAAGACAATAGCTACTATTTAGAGCGTAGAGGCTCAAGTGGGGCTTTCACTTGCTCAGTCTTCTCTTTGGGAATCCTTACTACAGCCCTAGGAGATAAGACATTTTAAGTGGAAGAAACACTGGGCTTGGAGAGAAGATGTGGCCACTTCATAGTACAATCTACACTGAAAACTGGTCTGACCCAGAGCTGAAAAACTTCCCTGGGAACCCCACCCCCCCACACCGGGGTCCACTGTGGGAGTCAGACACAGGCTTAAATTCATTTGCACCATTCCTGTGCCTCAGTTTCTTTCCATAAAGTCAAGGCTAACCAGGCTAGCTACTTAGGAGGCTGGGATCTGAGGATCATGGTTTGAAAATAGCCAGGGCAGGGCTGGGAAGGTGGCTCAGTGGGAGAGCGCTTGCCTTGCATGCATGAGGCCCTGGGTTCGATTCCTCAGCACCACATAAGCAGAAAGAAAAAAGCCGGAAGTGGCGCTGTGGCTCAAGTGGTAGAGTGCTAGCCTTGAGCTGAAGAGCTGAGGGACAGCGTCCAGGCCCAGAGTTCAGGCCCCACAACTGGACCAAAAAAAAAAAAACGAAAATAGCCAGGGCAGAAAAGTCCGTGAGACTCTTCTCTCCAATGAACCAGCAAAAAGCTGGAAATGGGGCTGTGGCTCAAGTGGTAGAATGCTAGCACTGAGAAAAAAAAGAGACAGTGCTCAGACACACACACACACACACACACACACACACACATCAAGGCTATCATTCCCTCCACTCACAAGGCTACTGGGAGACTTAAGGCAGGGCAAGACAGCCCATTAGGGTGTCAGGTGCTCCTCCAACCCACCAGGGAATTTGAATCCAGGTCTACCCCCACTCTTCTCCCTTCCCATTTTCCCCAGCAAGCCTTACCTTCAGCCTGGGCAGCTCCTGGAAAGAGAAAAAGGGAGGGGTGAGTAGGGAGAGCCAGAGAGTTTCTAGGCTCTTCAGCACCTACCCCCTCCCCAAGGACCGAGGGACAAAGGGAGGCCACCTGGGAATTCCTGAGCCCAGCAGGAATGGACCCAGAAAGGATTATGTCAGCTCCCCACCCTACTCATCTATACTCACCTGTCCCACACTGGAATAACCCAACAAAAAGCAGAAAGGCCAAAAGTTGCAGCTGCTGCCCAAGCCCCAGGCCTGCCCGTCGGGCCATGGCCCAGGACTGAGGCCCTCGAGGGAGACACGGAGCAAGAGAGGGCTGGAACCTAGTGCTGCTTTTCAAAAGGCAGGATCCAGAGGTTGGCTTCAAAAAGAAGGAATCCCAGATCCCAGACTGGAAAGGCAGAGCAGGTGTCCAAGGGCTGGCTTCTCGGGTAAAGGGAGGGGGGCGGGGGGAGGCCACCTTGAATGGTAGCCACCAGGGTGGAAACTGTCTCTGGTACAGCCTAGCCACGCAGATACCTGCGTGAGTGAGTGGCGGCTTCCCGGGTAAAGGCAGCTACCTGCCAGCTCCTCCCTCAGCCCCGCCCTCCTGGATTTAGCTACCTGGGACTTAGCACTGCTTACTTTTCTTGCCTTCAAAGTCCTAGTCCTTTCAGACAGTCCCCCCCCAACCCCCCCCTGCAGCCGCTCTGTAGGGGGAGGGGAAGACAGGAGGCTGGCCATCCAAGCAGGCCTGGCTAGAAACTGCAAGAGTTATCTGACTGTCCCCAGGTGTCTTTCCCATACTGAACACCCCAAGGCCTGGCTAAGCCTTTGTCAGTGAAGCCACAGCCCCTTCTCCCTTCCTCCCTCCTTTTCCTTAGGTCTGGCAGCCAGCAGAGCCTACCTAGGACACTGGAGGCTGCCTCTCCCCATGACCATCCCAGGCCTTTTCTATAAAGCCTACAAGCCTTCCCAAGGATGGTGAGCATAGTGCTAATCATCCCGCAAGTATTTACTATGGGTGCTGAGTGTACTCCAGGCCCAGGGGATGAAGTAGATGCCCTCCATAGCCTCCTGGACTTACAATGAGGACAGACTTAAATCAATAGTCACATCTGTGGTCCTAGCTACTCAAGATCTGAGGATCCTGGCTTGAAGCCAATCTGAGCAGGAAAATCCCTGACTCTTTATCTTTAATTAACCAGCAAAAAAGCTGGAAGTGGCATGGTGGTTCAAGTGGTAGAGCACTCACCTTGAAGAAAAACAATGCTTAGGGATAGCACCCAGGCCCTGAGTTCGAGTCTCAAGACCAGTACTCATACACAAAAAGTAGGCCCCTGTACCATCCACATTGGCTGCCATTCATCTGTGTTTGAACTTCAGTTCCTTTTAGCATCCTTTCTCCATCTCCCATTCCTTACCACGTTGGCAGTAATTGGGGAATGGTCACAGGGGTGTGTGTGTGTGTGTGACACACATACACACATGTGCATGACGGCTGATACTTCGGGTTGAATTAATGCAGGAAGCCCCACCGGGAAGTGGTTGGATTTATAAGTGGATGACATGCGTTTGTTGATGATCCTTAAGTGTACACATTTTGGGGTATCCATCAAAGCATGTATTTGGGGAACGGGCTTTCTCACCCTAAGTCTCTCTGTTCTATGGGAGGGGTGAGCCAGGGCTGAGGTACACTATGGGTGCAATTGGGGACACTTAATTCCACTGGGGAGGTGACACACGACCAGCTGTCCACCTAACCTCCCCCGCCCAGGGGCAAGAATGAGGGAATTGCTTCCACGTTATCAGACACATATTTCCTGGGAGCCCAAGGCCTGACTCAAGAGGAGGGAGGAGCCCCATCTCTGGTCTTCACTTGGCTGCTCTCAGCCCCCTCCCTAGCCGCCAATGATGCCACAAGGCCACGTGTTGGGGTTCACGCCTTTATTGTCTGCTGCTCCATCACCCTCCCAAGATTCCTGGGTCCAAAATAGCCAGCGCAGGTATCTGGAGGCTGCTGTAGTCTAAGTGCACAAGGTCCTCTCCAGGCCTGGGAGAGAGCCGGTTGGGCCACATTCCAGCACTGCTGAATGGTAGGGAAGAAATGATTCTGGGCACCAGGCCCTCCCTCTCAGCCCTGGATTAGGGGAGGCAGTAAGAGTAGGAACAAAGCAGCAGCTGGAGCAGAGCCTGAGGCTCCAGCCATGTCTGGGGGGCAGAGGTTGCTACCACCGGGTGACCAGTAGGGGGCGCCACTGTGCGGTAGGATATGGGCCTCGCCCACAGTTTGGGAGATCCACGCCTCTTCAGGGCCAATAGCTGCAAACAGCTCGCTGCTCCCTCGGACAGCCATGCCCATGAGGACCCAGGATCCTCCCTCAGTCTGGCACAGGAGTGGAGGTGCTGAGGCCACCTGCAGAGTTGGAGCCAACAGACCAAATGGGTGGTGCCCTTCCTCAGGGGGCCCTGTACCTGTCAATCACAAGACACTGCTTGCTTGTCTTTTATTTTATTTTTTTAATGCCAGTACTGGGGCTAGAACTCAGGGCCTCCTGCTCTTGCTTGGCTTGTGTATGTGTATGTTAGTCCTGGGTCTTGAACTCAGGACCTGGGCACTGTCCTTGAGGGGTTTTTTTGTTGTTGTTGTTCAAGGCTAGTCCTCTACCTCTACTTAGGGTGTTTTTTTTTTGCTGGTGAGTTGGAGGTAAACCTCTCAGATTTGTCTGCTCAATCTGGCTTCAAATACTGATCCTCAAATCTCAACCTCCTGAGTATCTAGGATAACAGGTATGAGCCACCAAGTACTGGATTTGTCTCTATTTTTGGCATCCTGATCCTAGGTCTCTCTTAAGATCCTGCCAGCAAATATTATTTCTTCCCCTTTGGCATCCAATACCTAAGAATCTCAGTCCTGGTCTTTTAAGGGTTTAGATGCCCAGTGTTCTCTCTCCCCTTCCTCCTCCATAATGCCCAGGCCTCTGTACCTCACACCTGTCTTCTTCTCCTTGTGCATAGAGGACACAGAGAGTCCCAGGGGGCAGAATGCCCTGATACAGGCAATGACACAGTTGTGGTGTCAAAATGGAGACCGTAGCAGCCACCGGGACTAAAGAGGAAAGAGAGTTGTCCCAGGGTCCTGGCCTCCAGTCACTCTTCATTCCCATGGCTCAGGGCTCTCACCTCGGTCCTGGAGGTCCTTCCAGCCCAGCACCCAGCAGCTGGATCCTGGGGGGACACCTCTGGGGTGAAGGCAAATGGGGAGGGCTGATGGGGAGGGTTCTACCCGAGAGCTCAGCTCCAGGAGAGCCAGAGGAGGCCTAAGTCCTAAGTGCCTGGGTAAGCGGATGCTGATGACAGATCGGGAAACTGGGTGGCTGTGTGGGAGGGGGCTGGCCCCAGCCCGGCCCAGATACACTTCAATGTACGGCACAGTTGTGGAGCCCAGCCTGTTGGAACAGAGACCAGTGTCATCTCCTAGTCTTCCCATTGCTGCTGGAAAAACCCTCAGTCCAGAGAGAAGAATAGAAACTTTAAGAGCACTCCATAAATCCTCCTTGATCTCTCCTTCCAAATCTCTCTTCTGTCTTAAACCATCTTACACAGTGCCAGGCACCAGTGGCTCACACCTGTACTCCTAGCTACTATGGAGGCTGAGATCTGAGGATTGAAGTTCAATGCCAGGAAAGTGGTAGAGCACTAGCCTTGGGCAAAAAAAGCAAAGGTAGTGCCCTGGCCCTGAGTTCAAGCCCCAGTACTGGTACATATATGTACGCGTACACACCTGCACATATACACACATACACACAAAACCTCACATAAAAGAGCCAATCCAAACCAAAACATTAACAAAAGCAGTAGGCTGGTGTTCTCCTGCTTGAACCAAACCTCCACTTCATTTTTTTGCTAGTTAGTCGCAGATAAGAGTCTCACAGACTTTTCTGCTTGGGCTGGCTTTGAACTGTGATCCTCAGAGTGGCAGTTAGGATTACAGGTATAAGCCACCAGTGTGCCAGGAAAGGGAGAACATCTTATTGTCAGAGTTCTTTGATCCACTTGCTATGTGTTCCCTACTGCCTCTTCCTTGCTCAGGACACCAGGGAGACGCACCTGAGGACACAATGAGTGGCTGCCAGCACCCAGCCTGGGGCCACGAGGATACCAGTGCAGACTCGATCGCCAGCCACATGCACTTCTGCCAACCAGGGCCACAATAATCTGCTGGGAGGAGCCTCTGGCCGCAGGCCACAGGCTAGGGAGAGGAAATGGCTATCTTAGTACAGGCCCCCCACCTCCGTGGAGCAGAACACCTCCGGAATTCCTAAGCCTCGGGAGCACATGGCTCACCACCATGCACTGTGCGAGGGGGACAAGTCTGGGTTACAGTCTCCTCCCCTTCAGGACCCCAGTCCCAGGCTAGCTGGTCCTCCAGGTAGGCTCCCCGCGTGACATGGCTGATCCATGGGCCGTGGGTTTGCAGTGGGGAGAAGGCACGCGGGCGGAGACAGCCACTGAAGGAATCTCTGAGACCAGCCAGAAACCAGGTTCCCTCCTCCCGACACAGGAGGCTCCAACTGGAGTCATTCTGCAAAAGGGTGTCATTTAGCAATCGCTCATCTAGACAAATGTCTGCGCTCCGGGCGGTCCCTAGATTCCTGATGGCCCGAGGCAAAGTCCCACTTCCACCAAGCCAGGCTCCGGTAACAATCCCGGTAAGAATTCTGCCCTCCCTAGAGGAGGCGTATTCCCTAAATTTAAGGGGCGGAGGGAAACCTAAACACCTATTCCAGGAGCTGGCCTCAGACCCCGCCCCCAGCTCGTTCTGGCCACGCCCCAACGCCCCGCCCTCCGGGTGCCGCAGACCCCGCCCACCCAGCATCGGCCCGCCTCCTCTTCCTCCTGGTAGGCAGGGCATAGCGCGTGGGGCGGGTCTCCCGGTAGCGGCACTGACGCCCCCTGGCGGCTGTACAGGCAATGACACCACCAGCCGCTCAGTAGCTCGGCCTCCAGCTGCGTATCCGGTCCCAGCGCAGGACCTTAGCGGGAAAAAGGCCGGGAACCAGCAGCGTCACGAGGGGTGGGGAGCGGCCGATCTGACTCCCGCCACTCCCATCTCCGCCACCTCCCCGCGCGTACCCCCGCGGCCCCAGCGAGCCAGGCGGCAGCGACTCCCCGGCAGGAAGTAGTGTTCGGGGTGGGGCAGGCACACGGCCCGCGGGACCGCGCTCAGGTTGACGGGTGCGCGCAGCTGCAGCAGCGCCAGGTCGGCGGCGTCGTCCCACGAGGCGTTCTCGTGCGGCACCAGGCGCGCCACCCGCTCCGCGCGCGCCCGCGCGGGCAGC